AGGGAGAAAGGGAAGAGAGAGAGAGAGAAGAGGGGAGAAGAAGAGAGAAAGAAAGCAAACAAACAAAAAAAGAAGAAGAGAAAGGTTTGAAGAAGAGATGAGAGAGAATGGGGACAAGAGGGAGAGGCGAGAGAGAGAGAGAGAGAGAAATGAAAAAGAAAAAAACAGCCAAAAGAAGAAGAGAAAGGTTTGGAGAAGAGATGAGGGAGAATGGGACAAGAGGGAGAGGAGAGAGAGAGAGAGAGAGAGAATGAAGAGGAAAGAAAGCAAAACAGCCAAAAGAAGAAGAGAAAGGTTTGGAGAAGAGATGAGGGAGAATGGGACAAGAGGGAGAGGCGAGAGAGAGAGAGAGAGAGAGAGAGATGAAGAGGAAAGAAAGCAAAACAGCCAAAAGAAGAAGAGAAAGGTTTGAAGAAGAGATGAGAGAGAATGGGACAAGAGGGAGAGGCGAGAGAGAGAGAGAGACAGAGAGACAGAAGAGAAAAGAAAAGAGAAAACAGCCAAAGAAGAAGAGAAAGGTTTGAGAAGAGATGAGAGAGAATGGGACGAGAGGGAGAAGCCAGAGAGAAAGAGTGAGAGAGAGAGAGAGAGAGAGAGAGAGCGAGAGACAGAATGAAAAGGAAAGAAAGCAAAACAACCAAAAGAAGAAGAGAAAGGTTTGGAGAAGAGATGAGAGTGTTAGAATGGGAGAGAGGGTGATTGGAGGGAGAGATAGAATCATGAGGAAAGAAAGCAAAACAACCAAAAAAGAAGGAGAAAACGTTTGGAGAAGAGATTAGAGAGAATGGGAAAATAGTGATAAATAAACTCGGTAAAAAGAATTGATTTGTTGTCTTTTTTTACGGATTATCAATCACTTGTCGGTTATTTAAATCCGAAACATATCTTGAATTGCAAGAATATTTCTTTCTGCTTTCTGATTTGACGCAATATTGCATTAAAAAAATTGTCATTTCCAGGAACAACTCCCACGATCGAACGCATAGCTGAGGGGGGGGATGATGGATTCATACCTTTCCCAAGGAAATTTGCACGTAAGGAAATATGAAGAACTCGACTTCAGCTCGAACTCAGATTTCCTTTTTCTAATCTTGAGCAACTACGCACTACACCACACTCACATCCATTGTTTTTTCCTGTCAATTCCTCAACAACACATGGCACAGTCGATAAAGGCGTTAGTTCGATCCAATGACTGGACCCAAAGAGTGTGGGTTCAATACCCGGTTAAAGCAGTTGAGAACTTGGAAAGGGGAATTAACAGGAGATAACTAATAACTGACGTCCAATAACATGGCACGTGGAACTAGAACAGTCTACAGCAGTGAGCGATATAAAGGGTTAAGTTCGACATTCCAACTACCTGAACAAGGCCGAAACGTTGTAATAAATATGGCAACAAAAATGAGGACAATAATGATCCGAACAATGTAAATAGTGTAATGATAATAATAATTAGAAGAAGTGACAGGGAGTCTCCTTTAATGATTCCTCGTCAAATATTTGACTGATTTTAAATCTGCCCTTAATCTGGTGCTTGAATATCCAGTATTGGAATTTGTGTCCAGATGAGGAGGGAACAGTTACAAATTCAAATTTTCAAAGTTTAAAAAGGCGTTGAGCGGCTCTGTTTAGAGAAAGAAAACGGTGGGTGATGTGAAATAGATTGATTTCTTTTCTACGACTTATCAACTTTTTGCGGGTTATTTCAAGTCAAAAACTATTTACAGATAGTAATATTTTTTGTAGATAATAATGGTTTGCTGATACAAGTCAGACTAATTAATCAATAGCTAGTGGGGAGAGGTGAGTTCATGTATTTACCAAGTCAATATAACGGATCCGACTGGAAATGGAACTCGTTTCTTCAATCAACAATTCCGAGGCGTTATCGATTATCCCTCGTACATCGAAGTTTACCGCTCCTGGTATTCGTGAGTGGTCACCCATCTAGGTCCAGACCAGGCTCGACGTTGCTTAATTTCGGTAATCGTAAGAGAACTGATGTTTCATTTTTGTATGGTCTTAAGCTATGGGAAATAGAGACAAAACAGGCATTTTAAAGAGTAAAAGTGAGAGGTTAATAGAAGGTTGTGGACATGTAAACTTACAATGAGAGTAATAATTAAGTTTAAAGAGAGGGGGGGAGGGAAGAAGAAGAAGAAGAAGAAGAAGAAGAAGAAGAAGAAGAAGAAGATTATAGCAGAAAGAAAAAGACATGAAGAATATATAGTATAGTACAACAGGCCACACGTATTCGAGGATCCCCGTCTATTAGGATGGCTAGCTAATCCCTATTGCAGACGCTTGCTCAGGCGAATTTATGTTCAGTCAACATCCAAAGGGTCCACCCGTGGTTAATGCTGCAGTCGGAGTTAACTCCTCCTTTAGTTCGTTAACCCTTTCAACAGGGGTCTCTCTTCCCTGACTATAAATAGTCGCTGACCCTTCGCCTCTTCCTCTTTTTCCCTCAGGCCTGTGCGCTTGACACCTGGGGGTAAATTTCTCCTTTTCCTAAGGCTTCAGCCTTACCACCTCAAAAAATGTGAACGTCACCAGAGATAGCGTTTCCCAAAAATGCTGGGAACACGCTAAGCATAATCCACACACACACAAACGCACATATATAATATTCACACACACTTTGTCCTTTTGTAACTGTTTCTATGTAACCTGTTAATATATATATTTTTATACATATATTATCGGTCTTGTGTTTTGTTTGTTTTCTTTGCATTCTTTGGACTTAATTAAAAGTCCAACTTTCTTGTGTAGTTGGACCAGCTAGCAGGAAAATCTGAACCCACATGTGTTTCTTCTACGTCTACTCAACAACATCACAGCCACGGTCCACTACACTGCAACTATGCGGAGCAGAACTTAGTTACAGTTTTTGGGAAAGAGCGTGCTATCTAGCATAATCCATAATTTGATCAAGACCAGCACGCTCAAACCCTCGGCCACGGTGACTTGTGACTTCGTGCTAGCAGAGCTCTCTACGGCCCCCAAGTCTCCATCTACCCAATTTCATTCACAGAGATTGGATCAACCTGTGGTATGTTTTTCATTCCAAAGGTGTCGCACGATGGGATCCACACCTCCAGTCGGATAACATCAGTAAATCTCCTTCCTGAAAAATCGACTATGGTGAGATTTGAACCCGGGTCTCCTGGCCAGAATACAAACGTGCTAACCACTCGACCATATATAGGAAACAAGTAAATGACCGCCATAGTCCAGTGTTTCCCAACCTTGGATACACACTTTTTTGTCAATGTCCCCATGTCAAATTAAATTTCGAATATTATACTGAATTCATATTTCATAGCAAGATAACACTTAAATATTAATGCAAAAATAATTTTAATATTGTTTTCATTTCTATTATAAATTGCCACTGATTAAAATGCTACAAGATCAACTTTTATTTGAGAGCTTATCTCAATGTTTCCAATGCAATGGTTGACTTTGGTGCTTCACTGGCGAAGACTCTTACACTAGTATCATTTGGTACCACAAGGGGGGAGTCGATACCGTCCACGTTGGGAAACACATCCTTAGACGGAAATTCCAGTCATCCGCAGTCTTTGGGTTAATATTGAAAGGCTATGCAAGAAAAGAAAACATGGGAGGAATAAAATAAACGTAAGGAAATAGATGAGAGAATGAAAGTGAAGAGAATGAAAAAGAGAACATTGAACAGAAAGGTGATCAATAACGAAAATGAAAGACAGAAGAAGAGAGAATAAGAGAAATAGAGAGAGAGAGAGAGTTAGATAGAGAGAGATAGAAAGGTGAACGAGATTTGCCTCTATAAAAAAATATGAGATCTAGTTTTATCTTTTTAAAGTAAAAAATGAAATTATATTTTCAAAACAAAAAATCGAACTTGCTAGTTGTAAGAAGGAAATAAGAAACAAAATAAACAATAAAAAAAGGAAGAAAAATGCATATAAAATATAAGCAGCCGAATTCTCGGACATTTGATAATCAAATCTCGGGACGTTGCACACGGCGGACGAGATCAAATTCGTGATATTGCAGATTTAGCGGCAGCATGATTAAAACACGTAGCAAAGTCTGACCAATCGATGTTCAGTTAAGAATACAACTGTAGGGGTTTCTTTTCTTTCTTTCTTTCCGTTATCAACATGGAATGAGGAAAATTTTGGCTTTTCTTTTAAGAACGGACTAAATTAAACGATGTCCCGAGGTGATGGATGAAGCAAAGGTGGCAATGGGGAAATGCTTCTGTGAATTGATCTACATTCAGGAAAATAACAAACTTAATTTCCAGTAGAGATTTCCTACATGTTAATTTTATACATGGGTGGGTTTTGGGTATTGATATGAATTTGAATGGAGATTAACGCTGTCCCTGAGCGTATATGCATTTTATTAGGTTACTTTTGGAAAAAATAACTAAATTTCCGGTAATAAAATTATCTACCAGTCAGTCAGTCAGTCAGTCTATCTATCTATCTATCTATCTATCTATCTATCTATCTATCTATCTATCTATGTGCTTACAGCCACATCACATTGAAACAGTGATTCTCGTACGAATATTGAGGTTAAGTAACGTTGAGCTGGGTCATTCCGTACGACCAACGAAATTAAGCAAAATTAAGCTTCGTCAGCAAATAGATGGGTGACTGCTTGGAAATACCAAGTACTATAACCTTGGATGTTTGACTGGTGTAATACAGAATTACTCGGATTTTTTAAGCGGAAAGTCGAGTTACGATTCCATTTGGGGTCTTTATCTTCACTTACGCACAAATACCCTTGCGAAAGGTATGAAACCCCATTTTCTTCCGCAGTTATTGGTTAATTAGTAAGACTTGTATAACTAAAACCATTATTAGCACGAAAAATAAAACTGAGTACAAAATATTAGGATTTTGGCATTCAATCAAACAGAGATTAATATGTCGCTACCCCAAAACAACCAAGCAAAAATCTAAGTCTGTTCTGCACCCCTCTCTAAGTCTGTTTTATCTTTCTCTTTCTCTCTATCTACAAATCAATCTCTAAATCTCTTTCTCTCTCTCTCTATTTATATATATGGCTGTTTATCTATCTATCTATCTATCTATCTATCTATCTATCTATCTCATTACTTATCTAAATATCTATGAATCTCTGTATGTTTCATTATCTATCTCAATATCTATCTATCCCAGTCTGTTCATATCTATCTATCTATCTATCTATCTATCTATCTATCTATCTATCAGTATATTTCATTATCTATCTATCTATCTATCTATCTATCTATCTATCTATCTATCTATCTATCTCAGTATGTTCCATTATCTATCTATCTATCTATCTATCTATCTACAGGATGCGATGGGTAAATTGTCGCCATTTATATTTTTAATTTCGCTCATGGGTGTTGTTTGTTTTAGATTTCTTCGATTGCACATTATAGTTGGGTTCAGTTGGGCACCGTCAGTAAGAAAAAAAAAGCATCATGACGCAATTCCCTCGACCAAAAATTTGGAAAAGACATGTATTGCTTGGCGTTCGCGCAGGAAGCTCCAATACCAGCATTTGTGTGCCAATCTGAAGACAATACAGAAAATCCAGAAAGAGTTAGATGAGACTAATGGATGTTATGAAGGTGTTTGGGGTGATCACTATTGATGCCGACGTTATGGCTTCATTGACCTTTCCACAAGACCTCAGACTCAACATGGAGGCTCACATCAAGTGCCTTCAGAAGGGAGCGCTGCCCTGGGTTAAAAGAAGGTGGCTGCAGAAAGACCCTATGTCTCGCAACAGGACTCTGCACCATGCTACACAGGTAGGAGAACAAAGTCAAGGCTGTCAGACTATTTCTGCAACCACATCACCCCTTACATCTGGTCACGTAACTTCCCAAACTGCAACCACCCTTGATTGTTATGTATAGACGGAACAAAACCACAACAAAACTCATTTTAACCCCAAAGATGAACTGAAGGGTTTTGGCAGCAATCACCAAATTAAACAAGGAGAGCGCCCAGAAGAGTTGCAGGAGATTCCAAAGTCGTCTGGAGGCCGTGGTTGTAGTCAATGGCGATTTTATTGAATATATAATTGAGATATTTTTGTAATTTTGGTAAATATATATGTTAAGATGAGACGATAATCTATCTATCTATCTATCTATCTATCTATCTATCTATCTATCTATCTATATATATATATATATATATATATATATATATATATATATAAATCTGCTCTATCTCTCTCTATCTATCTAAATTTGTTCTTTCTTTCTATCTAAATTTGTTCTATCTATCTATCAATCTCTCTCATTTCTCTCTCTCTCTCTCTATCTATCTCTCTCTCTCTATATATATATATACATATATATTTGTTCTATCTATCAATCTATCTATGTATCTATCAAAGGCTCCACTTATCACTCGATGATTAGTGAGTCCGTGAATCACAGTTATCGCCAGTTCAATTATAACTGTGTATCTTACAGTCCTGGCCTTGTGCCAATTACATCTAATTTTAGTAACTTCTGAACCGATATTATTGATGGTCGTCTGTAATACTTTACTTAAAAAAATGAAACAACAACAACAACAGAATCGACATGGCTCATTCGTGCCCTCAATCAAATCATTTCTCGCACGATGCTCGTGAAAATCAGCTTAAGTCGAATCCTCCGGACCTTTATGACTCTCTGACAACAGCATTTTAGTTTGTTAATATAATTCGAACAGCGCACTATGCCATAAACCCAATAACTATGGCAATTTTGCGATAGATTATTGACACATCGATGAACCTATTCCCCTTTTCCTGCTTACCTAGTGACTTATGATGTGAGTAATTCTCCGCGCCACCAAAACACATTGACCCTAATGTCGTATGCCTTTAACTTCGGATTCATAAATAACGCGTCCGCTCAAACATGAGTGCTTAGATTATTCATAACGACTTGTTTTTACGCTACACTTCCAAAATATGTGTATCTATTTTGAAAGCGTTCTATAACTTGGTATATATGAACGGTTATGTTGTAATATAAAATAACGGCCAGAAAAGTCCGAATATTTCTGACACAACCACATTTTAGTATATGCTGTTGTTTCCAAGGCTAGATGGATACCACGCAAAATTAATTACAGCAGTATTTCTTTAGTATTACATCCATGTTTTAGCTGTAACTGCCAAACCATAGTTTACCAGGCTTTAATGCGTTGAGAATC